ATATTTCTAAGGCAGCTCTTGGCTCCCTAAGATTTTCCCCCATAAAGCAGCATTCCAGAGTTGTCCCACCACTGTTCCCTTCAGCTTTTGGGGAGGATTTTGGGGGCTCAAAGTACCCAAAAAATCAGTAATTGTGTGGTTTGTTATCGGTTTTTCCATGTTTCCACCACAGAATTGAGCACATTCTTCTTTTCTGGCCACATATTTCGGTGGGATGTGAAATGAAACCTCTTAAAAGTGAAATTGCCCTTTGCAATCTGTGAAGGTTTTGGAAAAAAGTGGGAGATTTTTCCCTCTCATTTCAGAGCACTTTTGGAAGAATATTTTTCTCTCAGAGTTGTTTCTCCACTGTGTTCCTTTTAATGTTTACTCCAATTGATTTATTTTGTCATAAGGACTGATTTTATTTTAAGCAAGAGCACTTTGAGGGCTCCATTAAATCTTTATTTACTTTCTTGTCTGCGGAAAAGACCACAAGGACATCAACATTTTGTCCTGAGCCAAACTTTGTGGGGCCCTGTGTTGGTTTCTGTTTTTTTTTTTTTTTCCCTTTGTCTTTTGTACCTTCCAGAGAACCAAGAAATAAATAAACTCTTTTTTCCCCTAGTGTAAGTTATCCTGCAAGAAACGAGCCAGAGGGAAGGATATTTCCAGTTCTCATGAATAAGAAATTATTTTTCTCCTCCTAGCGGGATTTTAAGCAGAGAAAATACAATAAATTATTTCCCTCATTTTTTTATCACGCGGATGTTGAGGAATTTCAGCTCCTGACCCTCCCTCCCAGCTGATGCTTTAGAAGAAAGGCTGGGATTTGTCTGGTCCTTTTCATCCACACCCAATTAGAGATAGGAAATCAGCTGCTAAATGAGGAGACTTTTGGTGTTTTTCATGTCCTAAAAACCACCAAACTGAATTAATCCGTGTCGGCTCTGACCCTAGCCCTTGCTTTGAAGCAATCCTGGTTTTCCTTTCATCTCGGGAGATCACACTGGGGAGGGAGGATGAGTTCCTGGGTGCTTGGAAGCTTTGATATCCATGGAACTCGCTGAGATCTCGGCCCTGTTTGGATTTCGTTCCTAGAGGAGTTTTTTTTGTGGATGAGAGCAGGTGGCTCCTGTTCCTTTTGATTCCCAGGTAGCTCCTGTGTCCTGGACTAAATAAACTCATGGCTGAGGGCAGACACAGCTCTGGCAGCAGATTTGGGGCAGATCTGCTGCTTTGGGCATTTCCTTCTCAATATTCAACTGCAGCTGGAATTTCATGGATGGGTGCAGTTCTCCAGCCCAAAGCAGAGCAGTTCCCTGAGGACACAGAGCTGGGAGCAAGAGATGCCTCGAGGAATTGTGGAGCCCTTCAGAGGGACCTGGACAGGCTGGGGAGATGGGCAGGGAGGAAACTTCTGGAATTCAGCAAGGGCAAGAGCAGGTCCTGGATCTGGGAGGATCATCCCATTCCACCCCTGCCATGAACAGGGACACCTCCCACCATCCCAGGCTGCTCCAAGTGTCCCATCCAACCTGGCCTTGGACATTCCCAGGGATCCAGGGGCAGCCACAGCTGCTCTGGGAATTCCATCCCAGCCAGGAATTCCTTCCCAATATCCCATCTAAATCCACTTCTTCCAGCTCAAAGCCATTCCCTGTGTGCTGTCCCTCCAGGCCTTGTCCCCAGTCCCTCTCCAGCTCTCCTGGAGCCCCTTCAG